GCTGGAAGCCGAGCCTAATAAAGTTACTACCATCCCACCTCCTCTTCCTCATTTGTGCTGCTCGGTCGGCGTGGGCAGGTATTGCTGCTGGGCTGTATGTGCCTGCGGGCGGGACCCAGGCAGAGCGCGTTGCGCTTGCGTACTGGAGGCTGGGAGGAGAAGGGATACGCCTGCGTACAGTGAGGCTCTGCGGTAGGGCCCAAAACTCCCAAGATGCTACAAACACCTATCCGGAACGACGGGAAGGCCAGCTGGGGCAATAGGGGCGGGCCCACAGTGAAGTTCAGCCAATGGTAGCGCACGGGAGGAGTGACGTGTGCGCCTGGTCTACCAGTGGAGGACGGCGGGAGGTTCGTTGCGCGCATGCGTCCTTTGGTAGCCTAGAAAAAGGGGCTGCTGGCGGGCGGAGCTGAAGACATGGAGCACGGTTACGGAGGTTAGTGTCGGCGACTCCTTGCGGGTTGGGGCGAGAAGGCGGTCCCTGGCCACTGCCGCCGTCGCGCAGAGGGCCGCGGGCCGGGGCCTACACCCGAGTGCGGTTACCGCATTCCGGCCCTGCGGAGAGGCGGCCAGGGCGCGCGCGCGCAACTCATTGGACTTCGGCGCCGTCGCTCCCGGGGCGCTGCATGCCGATTGGCCGGCGGGGCGTGGGGACGTTGGCGAAGTTTGGCTGGTCGACGCTGCGGCGGGCTTCAGGGGGCGCCTTGGGCGGTCTGGGCCGTTTCTCTTCCTCTGATCCGGCGATGCCGGCCGGGCCCTGCAGCTCCCTGTTGCGCGCAGGCCCGCCTTCCCTTTTGGAAAACGCCACAAAATGGCGGCGCCCAGGGGCGGAGCCATGGCGCGAGCTCGTGGGGCGCGGGGTTTGCGGCCGGGGACATAGGCGGGACTGCTGCCTCTTTCTGGGCAGTCGGTTCTGTCCCAGCACCCGCGGGGCTTGGCCGGTGTTTCCGCGCGGCACCCGTGGCCAGGGGCTCCGGTCCCGGAAGTCGTATGGGCGGCGCAGGTTCGGATCCTTCGCTCCAGCCTCGCGGTGCAGTGCACCCGGGCCTTGTGCGGCCTCTGCAGTTGTCGACCTCACTGGGCGCCTGCCGTGGACCTTGCTCGTGCTGGTCTAGGACAAGACAGTGAGAGTCAGATACTGAGTATCGGTGAAACCTTGGAAACCCGACAGATTGTTGGCGCTCGGTCAGGCATTCCCATGTGGTGGCCTGGAGATGCCAGGGGGAGTGTGTAAGAGGGAACAAACCTTTTCCCCACTTGGGTTTCAGGCCTGCGGCAGCACGGACCTTCTCGGGCCGTCTACTCTCAGTCTCTAGAATTATCACCTCCTGAGAGGCCTTTCCTCTGTGCTGGGAGTCGCGTATGCCCACAGAGAACAGTTGAAATATGTAGTTGGGTAGAGCTTGACCAGGCGCAGATCCCTATCCAGGTGTATGAGGTTCCAGAAGCAAGCGATGTGATCTTGGCAGCGGCAGAGAAGGCGCGTGTCTTGAAAGGAGGCAACAGGAAATGCAGCAGAGACGTCCTGAGGTGCATGGCATACTTGGGTGTATCCAGGGTCTTTGGGTCGCTCAACCTGGGTCTCCAGTCTTTTCTGCCTTCTGACTGGGTGTCACCATTTTTTGCTTGCCTTTCCAACAGATCGTTCAACCAGTAGTAATTCTGCCTCATGCCCTAGAGAGGTTCCCCCACGCACAACGGCCACTTCCTACTTGCTAAAAATCTTTCCAGACTCAATTTAGATGTTGTGACCTTGGTGAATCCTTCTGTAGCTTTATCATCTAGAGTTATTTTCTAGGACGCGGAGGCTTGATAGCTGGTCCCTGACCATAGCGGGCACCTAGATCTGGGTTCAGATACTTGTTCTTTTGCCCCTCAGCTCCGTGTTCTTGGGCAAGTGACTTATCCTTTGGGGCCTCTGTATACAACACGGTGAACGGTACCTATCTCAAGGGTCGTTTTGAGGTTACTTGAATAGCATATGCCACTTAGCTAGACCAGTGTCCCACAGTGCTGTTAGAATCACTGCTCTGCTTTTCTCCTACACCGAAGTGTGAACTTGTGTGACATGGAGAGGTCATAGCCTGCAGAGGGCAAACTTGAGCAGTGTGACTTTGGATCAAGTTCCCTTACCTCTGAGCCTTAGCTCTCTCATCGCTGAACAGCATTTGAGACCAGCTAATGGTTGCTGAGTACCCACCATATGTTGGCACACAGTAGGCACTCAGCTGGTGGTTTGGGTTGTTCTGGTAGGAGAGAGAGGATGCTTTGTAAAGATAAAGTTGTATGACGGGTATGGATGGCCGCCTGTGCCCAGCTCTGCCAGGCTCTAGGGACACAGATGAAGAGGAGCCAGACAGATGGTGTAGTGGGCTGTCTGGAGGGGCAGAGGGCGCCACCACAAAGAAGGGTGCAATCTGATGCCTTAGGGCCAGGCTGAAGCCCTGGAATTTGAAGGCCCAGGGGAGAATTGGAAGGTTCAAAGTCACACACAGGTGAGGCTTAGAGAGGCACAGTAGTTGTCTCCGAATTTTCAAAGTTTGTTCCCAGTTGTAGGGTACTTACGGCTGCCTGGGCAGGGGGAGGGTTGTGGGCTCTGTCCTAATGATGGGCTAGCTGGTGGCCAGTCCTGTGTCTTCCTCAGTTGTGGGTTGAGGTTTAGGCCAAGGTCCCTCAGCAGGTAATGGACAGAACTGCCCCAGCAGCCTATTCCTTGCTCCTCTTTTTTCCACTTTGATCTCAGGCAGGTGGAGTGTGGAAATGGAAGAGCCATCTGTGGAATGACTTTTAGGGGGACATTGTGGTTGTGCTGCTTCCTGTAAGGCTGGCCCTGAACTCCTTCAAGGAGATCCTTTATACTCCTTAGAGCACCTCAGAAGCACCTGTTCTCTGGTTTGACAAATAGGACCGGCAACCATAACTCACAAGTCTTCTGTTCACAGGCTATGGAGCATGGAGTGCTGGACCTGCCAACACCCAGGGTAAGTGGGACCCGCTTTTCAGGGAGGCATGGGCTACCCGCCCTCCCCAGCGTCGGCATGACATAGCTGCTGCTGCTGATAGTGGACTGTAGCCAGGATGGGCTGATGGGGCGCTTGGGCTAGCCCAGGGATCAGGAAACCTTTTTTTGTAGAGGGCCACATAGTAAATTTTTTTTGGCTTTGCAGGTTTCTGTAGTGCAAGGGCTACCATAGACAGTTTATAAACAAGTAGGTATGACTATGTGCTGATAATATTTACTTAAAGACGCTGAAATTTGCAAGGTATGTATTTTTCATGTGTCACGGAATAGTCTTTAAGAATTTTTGGTGTTTTATTCTAATTCTTGATGGTATCATTGAAGACTTTCATAATTAGTAGAGTTTACTTTGTAGATGTACAGGATTGAGCAGATAGTATGTAGAATTCTGTATGCTTACCCTGCCTTCACCCCGGCACAGTTTCCCTTATTACCATCTTGCAATAGTGGGATATATTTGTCGCAGTTTATAAGCCAATGTTGATACATAGTTGTTAGCTATAGTCTATGGTTTATATTAATGTTCATTTTGTTATACAGTTCTATGAGTTTTGACAAATACATAAATGATAGGTCTTTTGTCAAAATTCTCATCATCATGGCATGGTCATTCAACTTTGGTTTTGTTTTGGTTTTTTCTTTCCCAACCATTTAAAAACATAAAACCCACTCCTAGCTTGGACTAGATTTGGCCCCCGGGGCCTGTTTGCTGACCCCATTCTGGAGCCTGTATCATGGTGCTAAGTGTCTGAAGGACCAGAATGTGCTCCCTGTTGGGGGAGGTTTTCTGCTTTTTGCCAGCATCTGTTCTGGGGAGGGGACGAGGGCTTCCTTTGTTTTCTGAGCCTGGAACTTAGCCCTAGCACCACTGGAAGCAGGGTGGCTTTTCTGCCCATCACCAAGTTTCCCAGGAGGAGGTCTGTGTTTCTCAGGCACATGATGTTCCCTTGCTCTGTTGAGTTGGGGACATGATTTTCCACCCGTGCACTCTCCATGCTGTTGGCTCCTGGTGAGAACTGGCCCTTTAGAAAGGCTCTGCCTGGGGACCTGGCCCAGGAGCCTCTTGGCTGGTGGCCCACACTGAACGAGCTTCCTGGAAAAAGGCTGTAGTGTCCTTTCTGTTGCCCTAGTGGAGGAGATCAAGGAGAGAAGCCTTGATTATGCTTAGCTGAGTATTCTGTGGGAATGAGTTTTACAGCTAGTGGACCCAGGCCTTTCACGGCATTAATCAGCAACCAAAGGTGCCTTCTGGAACACTGACACAGCCACCCTCAGTCCAGGCCCAGTGGATAGTGGAAGTGACAAATGTCCTTCAACATCCAGGCCGATGTAGGGGTGAGAGGACACGTCTCAGCGCCTTCATTTTGCAAATAAAACTCTTGTCTGTTTTTGTTTCCTCTAAGGTGCATATGGAACTAGTGTGGCCAGCTGGCAAGGTAGGCCCTTCCGGTGGTCCATGGGCTGGTGGGCGGGCCTTTGATCAGCTACCTAGAGGGGCTGGGGTGCAGAGACCCCCATCTCCCATCCTAGATGTGCTCCTAGCTGTCTTGAGGGCTCAGCGGGCTGAGCCTGAGGTGCTGAGGAGGGTTAGGGAGCCAGCCTTTAGGGGAACTTGCTGGAGGCAGCAGGTAGAGAGGGTTGTGGTTGTTTTCTGGGAGCAGCAGCCCTTTGGTGGGTCTGTCACTAGCCCAAATTGCCAGCTCCTGGGTTTTCAGCCACCTCTGGCTTTGAATGAGAAGCAAGTCTTAGGATCTGGTATAGAAAACCCACTGCTCAGAGTTGTAGGTGCGGCCCCTGCCCTCCTCCTGCTGCCTCTTGGCAGGTGACGTGTGCAGTGTGGGGTAAGCCAACAGCACTTGGTCCTAGGACTTTCTTCCTTCCCTGTGGGCAGTGGGTGCTTCTCCCCAGAGTTCTCCACCAGTTGCTGAGATCTGATTTGGCGCTTCCTCCCTCTGGCAGGTTATGAGAACTACAATTATTACGGTGCCCAGAACACCAGCGTCACCACAGGAGCAACCTACAGCTATGGCCCAGCCTCATGGGAGGCCACCAAGGCCAGCGATGGCCTGGCGACTGGGGGCCCTGCCATGCATATGGCTTCTTATGGCCCAGAGCCGTGCACCGACAATTCTGACTCCCTCATTGCCAAGATCAACCAACGTTTGGACATGATGTCCAAGGAAGGAAGCAGGGGCGGGAGCAGCGGCGGTGGGGAGGGCATGCAGGACCGGGAGAGGTGATTACAGGCCTGAGCCCTTCCCTGGGGGATCCTGCATACCCAGCTTTGTGCGGATGGGAGTGGGCACCTGCTCTTTCAGGGATGACTCTTCCCCCATTCCCTCTTGAGTATGGAGTACAGAAGTTGAGCCATTGTTGGGCTAGACATTTAATGGGACTTGCTGGTTTCCTGAGCGGTGGGGTTTAGGGTGTAACTGTTAACTAGACTATGTCAGACTCCTTATTTCTGCATCAGACGCCCAGCAGACCCTCCCCTTCTCATGGCCAACGGCTTCATGCCCCTTGTTCAGCAATACTCAAAAGGGATGGTTGGTCTCTTGCTTTCTGAGCAAGGGATGCGTGGTGGCTTGGTTGTGCTGTTCTGAACGTAGGGCAGTCAGCTCTGCGGGAGGCGTTGAGGTCGTGCCTGGACAGTGTGGTGATGGGTTGTGCTTTCTTTGCAGCTCCTTCCGCTTCCAGTCGTTTGAGCCCTATGATTCCAGGCCTTGCCTGCCGGAGCACAATCCCTACCGCCCCAGCTACAGCTTCGACTATGACTTTGACCTGGGGCCTGACCGCAATGGTGGCTTTGGTGGTCAGTACAGCGACTGCCGGGACCCAGCCCGTGAGCGGGGCTCCCTCGATGGCTTCATGCGGGGCCGAGGCCAGGTCCGCTTCCAGGACCGGAGCAACCCCAGCACTTTTATGCGCAGCGACCCCTTCATGCCGCCTGCAGCCTCCTCTGAGCCTCTCTCTGCTCCGTGGACTGAGATGAACTATGTGGGTGGGCGGGGCCTGGGAGGCCCCTCCCCCAGCAGGCCCCCGCCTTCCCTCTTCTCCCAGTCCATGGCCCCTGACTTCGGAGTGATGGGCATGCAAGGGGCGGGTGGTTATGACAACTCTGTGCCCTATGGATGTGGCCGGTCACAGACCCGGATCAGGGATCGGGTAAGCCCTTGCCAAGTTCTAACCTGCCTTGTTTGCTTTTTCTTTTTAAGAAGCTTTGTTGAGGTATCTGTAAGGTTTATTATTTTTAAAAGTACAGTTCAACTTTTAGTAAAAATGTACAGAATTGTGCACCTTTCACCATCATGTAATTTTAGAATGTTTCCCATCATCCCAGAAAGAAACCTCTGCTGTTAGCAGTCACTCCCTGTTCTCTCCCCCAGCCTCTGGCAACCACTAATCTACTTTCTGTCTCTAGATTTCCCTCTCCTGGACATTTCATATGAATGCGATCATAGAACATGTCAACTTTTTTGTCTGGCTTCTTTCACTCAGAGTAGTTTTTGAGTTTGAGGAACAGGGTTTTCCAACTATGTTGTTTGCTTTCTGAAAAGACATATTCTGTCCTCGTTCTCTGATCTTACAACCTTTTTGTTCTTCATTTCTCTGGGGTGTGTTACCTGTCTGAGTAAGCGGTACAGTGGGATATGCTTGTGTCTGTAGCCCAGGTGGAGAGGGTTTGATCGCTGCGGCCCAGATAGCTTGGGCAGGAAACGGAAGCAGCTGCAGATTTACGACGAGCCAGACACCAAACAGGCCCGGGCTGACAGTGAAGGCGATTTTTCCGAAAACGGTATGCCCTGGGGGCCAATAGGCCTGGGTGGGTATAAGATGAGTCAGTTGCATGCTTGGTGTTCTGCCTGCCTGTCTGGACAGTGGACACATGGGAACTCAAGGGTGGCGTGTGTCAACCTGCACTCCAACAATCCCCACTGTAGTCAGGACAAGCACAGTCACTCTGGACAGTGAGTCTGGGAGGTGAAAATGGGGTGGGCCGGTGCCGAGGAGCTGACTTTCCCTTTCCTTTGTGTCCAATAGATGATGGAGCTGGTGACTTCCGATCAGGAGATGAAGAATTCAGGGGTGTAAGTTCACCTTTACTGATCAACCTCTGGTGTCTCTAGTGCAGGGTTTCTTCCTTCCTTCAGTGTCTTCCTCACAGAGAGGAAGAACAGCTGCTGTGGTGGATCCCTCTCTGCCTCAGGAGTAGATTTAATAATCAGACTTGCAGCTAGGTTTCTATGAGTTTTCCACTTGCGGCAATCCTTCTTTCCCTGAAAACATTCCCAGCCCTCTCCCCAGCCATCCCTGTGTCCTCGTAGCAATGTGCGTGGTAACTGCAGCGGGTGGCTGTGTGGGCCTGGGCTTCCAAATGTGCACTGAAGGCTCTTTTGCTGCCAGCACCAGGCTGGGGCTTAGTGCATCCTTGTCATTCACCTCTTAAAACCAATCACGGGAGATGGGTGTTGAAGGCTGGCTCTCAGCCAGGACCGTGCATGAGCATGTGGGGAGCGGTCCTTTGCCACCCCCTGCAAATTCTGGTCCAAGTCGGGGGTAGGGCCTGGAGATGTGGGTATATGGAGGCTTCATCCAGGTGCTTCTGAGGGTCGTGCTTGCTCCCTGTCTGGGTTGCTTAGATCTTCAGCTTGTGAATCTCTGCCTGTCTACTGATTGATAATGTAATCTTCAGCTCAGTGTCTAAGGAATGAGCTTCAGTGCTGATTTTCAGTTAGATGAGGCATTTTTATCTATACCTGACTTGTTATAGTCTTTGGTAAATGTAAACAAATAGCTGAGAAACTTCATAAAGCCCATCTTCATTAAAGAACACTGAAACTGGTCCAAAAGGGGGTTTCTTGACACAGTTGATGGATGGGCTCTTGGCCTTCCTGTGTGCAGAACTGTGCATTTGCCAGAGGTACTTCTTTACCTTTAGAAAGAATTGAAATGTGGTCAGTGACTTTTGTGAAAAAAGCAAGTTAGGCATCATCACAAAATCTCAGAAGGCAACCAGGACTAGTGACGGGACACTCACTCTCTGTCCCGTGGCCCTGGGACTTGTCCTGATACATTGGGGTGGTGTCCCTGGTGGCACAGTGACCACCAGGTGGTGGCAGGGAGCTAGGCTGGTTGTGGAGAATTCTGGAAACTCCACCTCACAGTCCGACTTTGTGCCTATTTTTAGGAGGACGAATACTTCGACTCCGGGAGGCAGCGAGGTAGGCATCGCCCAGCATCCCTTTGAGCTTTCCTGTGTCTGCCCAGCTACCCTGCACTCACCGCCTAGCTCCCAGCTGGGCTGGGCTTCTGAACAACCCAGGGCCTGGATGGAGGGGCTGGCGGCTCAAGGCAGGAGAGGGGCCGTGGCTGCCTGGTGGGCTTTGCTTCGGTGTTTGGAGCAGCATTTGCTGGAAACAGGTCTGTTTGCCTCACTCGGTGCAGGCTGCGGAGACGGGGAAACTCACCTCTGGGTGTCTGCAACAGCTCGCAGTGGCAGGGAAGGGAGAATCTCAGAGATGCAAGAGGGAAGAAGCGGCGCCCTCCGGCCTGTCTTCTCTGTTCTTCCCTTGGTCAATGCAGGTCCCTATACTGTTTTCTCCTGGGCTTCATTCTGTCCACAGTTCCCTTGCTTGCCAGGCCAGGGCCATGCTCTCAGCCTCTGTGATGGGGACATCAGCACTGCGTGGGGCAGAGTCCGGACACGGCCCGGGTCGGGAGCCTGGGGTGGGGAGTCCTGTTAGGCACACTCGGACACGGATCCTCCAGAGGCAGTCACTGCCCACCAGTTCCAGCACGGGAGGCCTAAGAGTCCAAAATAAGTGGCAAGAACAGAGCAACATTAACCCCTTGGGGGGACATGGAGAAGCGTGAGACATGGTGGCTTTGAGTTTACCCAGAAGCCACTTGTTTCTTTCCCTGTTCCCACGGGTCCGTCCATAGCTGGTTTCCCTTAAGACTCAGAGACTGGCTCCTTTGTGATTCTGCTCCCATGAGTTCTGAAGGCCTCTGGCTTAGATGCTCCTTCTCTTGTTCAGGTTTGACCAACCCTCTGAGGTCGTCCCACCCTGTTTATTGAAGCGATTATGTCTATAGCATGGGACCACACAGAACGTTTAGCAGCTCGTGCAGTGGGGTAAATGCTAAAGCAAAGGTGACATGTTTATTGCGCGCAGGTCCTGCTACCTACCCGGGATGACTTTGCTATTAAACAGCAGTAATAGTTTCAGGCAGTGACCTCTTGCCAAAAATCCCACACGCCCTTATGAGAGGCTTCTGAGCAGCGCACGCCGGTCGCCATCTTCGTGGGACAGTCTCGTGACTGGCATCAGGGGTAGGGGTTACAGTTCAGATGCTTATCCAACCTTTTTTCAGTGTCTGGCCCTGGCCCTGAGCCGCGGTGACCTGGCCTGGCCTCATGCTGGGACTCTGGGCTGCACGGCTCTCAGAGGAGCTCCTGCGCTGGCCCCACGGGATGGATGGAAGACCAGTTGGTCTCTTCCACTTTTGTTTCTGGGATTGCTTCCCGTGTATCCCTGGGAAAGCCCTAGAGCAACAGTTCTGTGAGTGAAAGATAGAGCTCAGGCCAGCAGGGGTTGTCAAACCTGCTGAGGCCCTAGTTCAGACGAAGCTGCCAGGACAGTTGTTATGGTCCACCTAGAGTGGGACGGAGGGCGGTAGAGTGGCTTGTTTTGTTTTCTGAGGCCTTCCAGCTGCTGCCTCTTTATCTGGGAAGAAAGGCTTCTCTCTCTCCTTAAGTAATGTTGGGAGAAAGCCCAGTGGTAGGGCGCTGGATTGGAAAAGTAAGACAGGGAAGGACAGAGAGAGCAGGTGGGCCATGGTATGAATGGGATGGGCAGGCCGTATCCCTGGCCCATCCCGGCCTTATCGGCCATGGGGAGTGAGGTGACTCCCCTGGGAACAACTGAGGGTTCTCCTCAAAGGCCCATCCCCATTGGGAGCCTTTGACAGCCCCTTGGTGCCTCAGGGTGTCTGCACCCTGCCATGCGTGGAGGTGGCCAGCGGGGTGTGGGGTATGGTGGCCGAACTATGGTCCCCATCAAGGCCCTTGTGCTCGCTCCTCTGCAAGCTACTCAGAGCATCTGGAAGGGACTTCTCTGTTGTAGGAGAGAAGGATGACGAGGATGATGAAGTGAAGAAGAGGAGGGAAAAGCAAAGGAGGAGAGACAGGATGCGAGACCGAGCAGCTGACAGGTGAGGAGGCCGGCGAGGTGGGAGGTCAGCTGGACCTAGGCACTATCAAGACTCCCCTGGGCTCATCTGTCTTCTCTAGTAGTAGTGGGGGAGCCTGGTTTGATGAGCTGACTCCAGGTGTCTGTGGGGAAATCCTACAGGTCCAGGGGGGACAAAACTTGGGAAATATATGGAATCATATCCTTGCCAGTGGGCCTGTGTGGCCCTCACATTCTCAACAGGGGGCTCTCTTGCCCTCCTGCAGGCCTATCAGGAGTTCCCTTGTCCCCTGGCGTGTGTGTGTCATCCCAGACAAGTGAACTTCATTCAGCAGAGCTGCCAGGAAGGTGCTTTGGGTGCTTTGTCCAAATCCGAACCACCTGTGGAGTTCAACATAGCAGTTGCGTGTGTACAGATGCTACCTTCAAGGTTTTGTCTCTAAATAGAAAAAAATACCAAAGTGCAAACTCCAAAGGGCGTTGGTGTGACCACAACATGCCCCTCTCCCTGTGAACCACCGGTGGCCGTGTGAGCATTTGGTTGATGAGGCCATGCCCACATGTGGCGGCTACTCTCTGCCCAGGTTCTCTTTATGACTTGAGAGGGACTCCTTGCTCTTAAGGCTCAGATGGGTAGTAGTTTCCCTATGCAAAGAAATGCTTAGCAAAAGACCTAACCGTCAAGGCTGAGAAGTCAGGAACCGAAAAGTAGGAGTTTCCAGTTACAGAGTTCATTGAAATCCTTGCTTTTAAACAGATGATTAAAATGATGGCTATGTTAGATCAACTTTCACGCCACATGGTTGACTGAGATGACTTTTTTTTTTTTTGAGATGACTTTTTTAAAGAAATCTTTAGACTGCCCTAGTCACTGAAGATCCTCAAAGAGACTTGGGAAATCGTCATGGGGGAGGTAAAGATGCAGCAGGGAGCGGGAACCATGTATTTCTTTGGTAGCTTCCTGACAGCCCTGCACGTAGGGCCGGGCACATTTTCCTCATCACTCTTTCAAGGGTATCTGCAAAAGCAAGCATTGCCTTGTGGCACTTGTCCAGAGATCAGAAACCAGACATCAGGGCCAGGAGAACTCTTGGGTTGGCAGAGGAGGACTCCTGAGTGCCCAGGGCCTGTGATATCACCCCAGGTGGGGCAGAGCTGAGGGAAGCAGCACCCCGCTGTGCAGGAACGGGGGTCCGCAGGGCACTCTCTCCTTGCTATATGGCATGCATGCGTTTGGTGAGACTTTGAAAGCATATGACAAAGAAACCTCGGTTTTCACCCATAGAACTTGATGTGACATGTCTTAATGTTGACTCCCTTTGGAGAATTATGTTAAATGGGGTTGCCTTGTATCATCTGCGTGGCTGCAGAGAGAAACATCTGAGAAGCTGTGGAGTAGGTATTAGGTCCCCAGAGCAGTCGGCTGCAGACTTAGGGAGTCCACAGTTTTGAAAAGTCTCCACCTTTGCGTGTTCTGTGTTCTTTTATGAGCCTTTAGGCCAAAAAGACTGGTGGTAAGGTGCTGCGTGAGTCATTTTTCTGAATGCTTGCAAGGCTGCACTCTCTTAAGATGTGGAAACTTGGGGTAACTGCTACTCGGATGCCTTGTGACAAGTCAGAAGTCTTAATTCAGAAATTGCTTTCCCATTTCCATTTTTGTTCTAACCAGAGGTGAACTGGTTATCTTTGCATCACTGCATTTCTTTTTGTCTTCCTTCTCCAGGATTCAGTTTGCCTGTTCCGTGTGCAAGTTTCGTAGCTTTGAAGACGAAGAAATCCAGAAGCACCTGCAAAGCAAATTTCACAAAGAGACACTGCGGTTTATCGGAACCAAGTTGCCCGACAAGACAGTGGAGTTCCTTCAGGTAAGTCACACCTGGCTTCCATCACAGCATTTCCCAGTGATCTCTCACAGAGAAGGGAAGGGAAATAAAAGGCCTAAACTTGGTCAAGATTTTTTTTTCCAGAGTAACAGTGTACAAGTCCTCAAGTCAGAGGAATACCTGAGAGCTCCAGCCCTTGTGGGTCCCACTAGTTCTACACACGGAGCTCTCCGACAGCCGCCTTCCCATCCTTGGAGCAGCTGAGACAAGGCTGTCATCTGCCAGGGGCTTGGTAGCCGCCTGTCATGAGCTGCCTCTGGTGCAGTTGAAAAATATCCACGCATGCCACCCTCTCATTTCATTTGGTGCTGTCTCCCAACTTCTTCAGGAATACATTGTGAACAGGAATAAGAAAATTGAGAAGCGGCGTCAGGAGTTGATGGAGAAGGAAAGCACAAAACCAAAACCAGATCCTTTCAAAGGTGAGTTGTGATCCTGGGGTGTGTGCTCTTCCAGGTGGTAAAGTCCAGCACAGGGTGGTTGAGAATGTGACAGGAAAACCCGTGGGAGGGGTACTTAGCAGGGGAAAGAAGCCTTCAGGTGTGGCTTCATGTAGATCGTGGCTCTGCAGGCGGCTTATTGGAGTGATGTTAAGCACTCTGATTTTTCCTCCTTTGTATGAGGAGAAAGGACAGGAAGGGTAAGAAAAGTTGAAGTATAAAGTTCCCAAGTGTAGACGCTGTTTGTTTGGTCTCCACAATACTGCTGGAGACCAGCAGTCAGGTCTTACTGGGGAGTAAGTAGGAGGAAAGAATCACTTGCGTGCTGTCCCGAATCTCATAAGACTTGGGTTTGTCAACAGGGATTGGCCAGGAGCACTTCTTCAAGAAGATAGAGGCTGCTCACTGCCTGGCTTGTGACATGCTGATCCCTGCACAGCACCAGCTCCTCCAGCGGCACCTGCACTCTGTCGACCACAATCACAACCGCCGGGTGAGTGCTCTCCTGATGCTGGGTGGGGCAGGCCCACCTAGCTGCCAGTGGGAGGGGTTTAGAACTTCCTGTGTCCTAAGGGGAATGCAAACATCTCTAAGGGCTCTTGCCATATTCCACCAAGTCTTAAATCACTCCATCAATGATTGTAAAAGGCACCCCAGTTTCTATTAAAATGTGAAAAAGTGAATTGCTTAAAATTGACTAGATACAGTAGCTGAAATTCTCCTGAGTTGAGAATGTTCCCTGTAAACCACATGAGTAAATTCCCCAATTGCTGAAAAACTGGATTTTTTATATATAAGCTGAGGTTGAGGGCAGAGTGGCCTAGAGGACCGAGGGTTAAGGACTGGTTTGGTCCTTATTAGCTGATGGGGCCTGAGGCTGAATGTTTAACTCAAGGCGTTGGCAGACTTTTTTCTTTTTTTAATAAAGGGTCAAATCATAAATATTTTTGGCTTTGCAAGCCATCTGCGTAACACCTCAAGCCTGCCTCTGATGGGCAAAAGCAGCCACAGACCACGAGTAAAGGAATGGCTGTGGCCTCACTGGCCTGAAGGCTCCAGCTTGCTGAACCTTGGGTTAGCATCTCTCTCCTTAGTTTACTCAACTACCAAATTGGAGATACCAATGCCTGCCTACCCATCTCCCAGGATTACAGATCAACTGGAAAGCACTATACAGACAAGGGATTGTCATATGAATGTGTCAAGCTCTAAAATAGTCAGATGGTTGCAGCATTCATATTTTTGCTCTAGAATTTACTTGTAAAGTCAGTATACCTCAAAAAACCGAAAAGAAAATCTTGTCCTTTTCCACTACTGAGACTACGTAGCTTCTGATCTGTTAATAGTCCTGTTTCATCCCAGCTTGTGCACATGGTACCTGCACATCAGTGGTGTGCCTGTGCTTTTACCTTTTTAGATTATCAGACTTTTCAACACCATTTCACAATCTGAGTTCCAGAGTCTTCTTTCCTTTTCGTTACTGGAGTCTAGCATTTTCGGATTTGTCATGATGTGAAGAAAGATGTTAGTTGTCCCTCTGCATAGGACTGATCTCCGAGCAACTCAGTGTAGCCAGGCTGGTTTGTTGTCTTGCTCCTCTATGCACACCTTTTTTTTAAAAGACCATGTTTGATTGCCTTTGTAGTTGGCTGCTGAACAGTTCAAGAAAACGAGTCTCCATGTGGCTAAGAGCGTTTTGAACAACAGACATATAGTGAAGATGCTGGAGAAATACCTCAAGGTTTGTGCTTAGGCATCCAATAGCTTTTGAAATGGAAGATGAACTCTGTGGGTTTGGAGTGATACCCAGAGTGCAGGGTTTAGCATTTCTGAGTCTTTCGAAGAATTGAGAGACAGACTACGTATCAGGCTGGGGAATTCCACAACTGCGGGTTTCCTGAGACTCGACTGCTTGCCTAGGGACTTGGGGTGTGCTCCTGCTTGATTAACGTGTGCCATGCTGCTAACTCTCCATGAGAAACCTTGGCCATCTGCCCATAAAATACCAGGCAGATGATGATGAGATGCTTCAAAACAAAATAAAAACCAAGGTAGATGATAATTCCAGAAAGAAGCTAAAAAGCTTTGCTGGCAGAGACAACCAACAGTGAGATGGGGAATGAGGGGGAGGAAGAGCCAGTGGTGCCACAATCCTGAGTCTTAGTGGCCGGAGCAGATTAATAACAAAAATTCCCGAAGAGGGTACCCGAGAGAGAAGTCTGGTTGAAAGAGTCTCCGGTTCCTCCTTGGGAAGCCCGTTTTGCTAAGTGCTTAGCCCCATGACCTCAGCATTTAGGGCTGGGAGTTAAGCTTCAGTGCAGCCTAACTAGGACTTGTTTGTCCTCCTCTCAGTTACTAGTTGCTTCAGTATTTGGCAATTCCTTCCATAAAAGGATAGATGCTAAATAGCCAGTTTAAGAACCATGTCTGATCAGTGTTTTACCTTGTGACTTAAACAGACTTAGTTTCTGGAGTCAGATGTAGACTCAACACCTTCTAAACACCGTACTTTAAAACACAGTTTCTAATCTGCTAGTGATAACGTTTAGTTTACTTTTCCTAAACTAGACACGGTTGTAGCATATGCTTATGAGAAGTTCAGCTTTTGAGAGAGCCAGGCTTGGATTGAATCCTGACATGTTTAATAGTTGTGTGACCTGACAAGATCTTCAGGTCTCATTTCCTTATCTGTAAAATGGGGATAACCTTCATGCCAGGGCTGTGTGCCTTAAAAAAAAAAGTCTTAACTTCCTATTATGAGGCTTTGTTTTTTCAATTGGGTTAAGAAAACCTAGGTCTTGTTGAATCTTTCCTCACCATTATTTGCTTGAATACAAAGTGTAAAATAGTTCCAGTAAGGCTTTTCTGAGATGTCTTTCCTGAATCTATAGGCTCTGAGCACCTGTAGGATTGACTCACTTGCTGTAATATAAAGTTTCTGTTGTTGACCAAGCATCATAAAACATAAACTCCCAGCAAGCTGAGCATCCCTTGAGCTCTCATTTGGACAGTTCTTTGGATTGTGCTGACCTGTGTTTCCTCCTCTTGGCCAGGGTGAAGACCCTTTCACCAGTGAAGCCGTCGATCCAGAGATAGAAGGAGATGACAATTTAGGAGGTGAGGATAAGGAAGAGACACCAGAGGAGGTAGCTGCAGAGGTCTTAGCTGAGGTGATTACAGCGGCAGTGAGAGCAGTAGACGGGGAAGGAGCACCTGCTCCAGAAAGTAGTGAAATGCTGGCTGAAGGGGAAGCCACACCTGAGGCCACGAGTGGTCCCCACGCTGAAGAGCCGCTGGAAGCAGAGGCACTCTGTGGAGTGGCATCTGAGAAGGGTAACGCCAAAGCAGAGGCCAGAGGTGAAGCTGCTGAGGCCGGAGGGGACGTGGAAACCCTGGCAGCAGAGGCGGAAGGCACCCTGACGGCCACGGCTCCTGCCCCAGCTGCCACAGAAGCCGACGGAGAACAAACTGCTGCAGACTGCAGAGATGCTCTTCCCACAGAATGAGCCTTCTCTCCCTGTTTCAAGGGATATGTTGTATAGTGTATTGTTCTTTCTCCTTTGGTTCATGAGCAGTACTAGGGTGTTACTGGAATAGTCTTATTTTGGTGAAGAGACCCAGCCATTTCCTTCAGAAAAGTGTACCTCACAGGCTTGTCTTGCAGAGCTATGTGGCTTTTTGCCCTGGTTTGAAGGCTGCAGAAGTTGTACATTCCCCCAGGCGGCTGTAACATTTCTTTACACTGCAGTTGGAATAATAAAAATTTGAGTGATTAGATTTTGATGATATTTTGCTTGTTAAGTCTAGCTACTGGCTAAAGGCTGCCCCCATCCCTTTTAGAAATTTAAAAATTTTTTTTGTCTGGGAGCAGCTCAATACTAGAATGTATCTTGCTTTATTTTGCGGAGGTGGGGAAGGGAGTTAAGTTTCAAGAATTTGCTTTGGCTTCCTTTTTTAACCTCTGCTTCTGTGGTGTGCTGCATGGTGTGTGGTCCTCCCTCACAAGATGTAACAGAATCTTCTTAACTGTGATGTTGATTCTGTCACATCAGTGAACTCTCAAAGGCCTGATGAATCTGGCACACCTGCACCATAGATGGACACCCACTTGCCCCTCAAGAATGAGGACACTTTGTGTAGGGCATTATTTCCCAATCTTTCATCCTTGGTGAATCGCCTTTACAATCTTTTACCTCATTTGTATTCCATCTCTGCATTACTTCAGGGTTTTGTGGGGTTTTTTTTTCTTTAAATTGAGTTACTTCTAATTAAATACATTTAAAAAGAAAATGATGTCACGCTCATGAATGGAAAACCAATATAAATTGCCATAGACAGACACTACCTATGAAAAATAAATAATTTAGATAAATACTATTCCTTTGGAAGTTTCTGAGTCTGTGAGAAAGGAAAGCTAGCATGTGTTAAAGGGTAGTAAACAACAGTTACACTTCCATATAATCAGAATTGGAAGGTACCTTCCTTTGGAAATATTGCTGGGTCTGTTTTCCTATAAACCTTCAAACTGTCACATTTGGGGAAGCGCTGGCCAGTGGGAAATTATTTGTAAAAAGGGGCAGTAAAATACTTGATGAGCATCTATTGTGTACCAGGTGCTAATTCATGATAAAAAATAAGATATAGGGCTACTCTCAGGGAGCCTTATTGGAGATATGAGATGAACATTTATAAAAAAGTCAATGTGAGAACTAAAAAGAAGTAAACTGCTTAGTAAGCAAGAAAATGGTGCCTCTGAATCTTTTCCCCTTATCCCTTAATACTACATATATGTGGCTTAGCCACAGATCGCACACGACCTTTGAAGCTTTTTCTCTTGAGGCAAAAATGTTGGTGGTATTGAGCATAAGTAATCTGAAAAAGGACAACAAAACTATACTGCTTTGTTTTGCTTTTCTTGTAAAATTCATAGAAGGCCTGTAATTAAATCTAAACTTCAGTTAAATTTTCCACCCCTCACCAGGTGTGAAACGATGTGACGTGAATCATTTTATTCCTAAACTTAAGCCAGTTAAACCTCATCTCCTCAAGATGGGGAGTAATTACTTGGGTTGCACAAAGGGATGCCCTGGTATTCCTGAGATGATGGGAATAAATTGCAAGCTTCCTCACTGGGAACTAATCTTTATCAGTTATTTCCCATCTGTAGGGGAGAAACCTGAGAGGGAGGTTAAGTAACTTTTAGGGCCCCACTACCTAGATTAATACACAGGCCCATGAGACACCAATGGCCATGAACTTTTTATAGAGTACCTTTATTATAATTTACAAACAGGTTTAGAGAATTTGGCAATCCCTGCTATTCACAAGCACAAAAAAAAAACCCTTAGGACTGGCAGCCTAGTTTCAACTTTATGTAATATTGTGGGCCTGTGTAATTTCATTGGGTTTTTATGAAATTAATACAGTTGCAAAAGGGGAAACAGTACAATGTAATGAGTAAAGTGCTCCTTCAAGAGTACATGATCAGTATTACCAAAGCCTCTCCAATTAGACTTTGGACCATAAAGAGATCACTTCTGCTGCTTGATGACTTGGCTGAAAGTGATCCTTGCTCACCAGAAGTGTGGCCAGTAATGATTAGACAGGCACCGCAGAGTTCAAGTAGAGTTTTATAACTTACAGTAGAAGAGCCTTGTAGCATTTTATTACTATTTTTTGCAGCAGCCTCTTTGGAGTGCTCAATAAAAAAGATGGCCATGGAAATAAAAACCCATGAACACAGCTTTGTACTGATTTGACATTGATGGCTCTTTGATAATTGAGAAAGTTCTGGGCCATCTCCATCTTGTAAGAGAACACTAAGGCCTATGTGGTTAGTTGGCTTTCTGCAATCAGTCTTAGAGTCTATGCACCTCCTCTCAAAACACTATCTGGTTGAGTGTATACTTTAGATATAAAGAAACTGGAATTCACTTTAGGGGACAATATAGTGGGGTAGGGGACAATGTATTCTCAGGGATGGTTATCAGAATTAAGTGAGATATAAATACTTGGCACTACTGAAAAAGTGGCTTCTAAGCTCAACATCACATTGTGAATAGTGTTGCTAGGAACATTCTTGAACAAGTATTGAGTACCTGTTTTCAATTCCTTTGGGTATATACCTAGAAGTGGAATTATTAGGTCATACGGTTGTTTTTATGTTTAAAATTTTGAGGAACCACCAAACCTCCACAATAGCCTCACCATTTTACATTCACATCGGCAATTTGCTAGGGTTCCAATTTCTCCACATCCTTACTAATACTTATATTCCTTTTCTTCGTCCCTTTTTTTTTTTTTGACCCCCTTCATTTTAGCCATCCTGGTGGGTATGAAGTGATACTTGATTATCTCATTGTGGTTCTGAGCTGCATTTCCCAAAAGACTAATGATGCTGGGCATCCCTTCATGTGCTTTCTGGTCATTTGTTTATCTTAGAAGAAATATCTATTCAACTTCTTCACCCCATTTTAAAATCTGGCTGTGTTTTTGTTGTAAGAGTTCTTTATATATTTTAGATACTCAACACTTAACAGAGATAATTTGCAAATATTTTTTTCCATCCTGTGACCTGTCTTTTCACTCCCTTGATAGTGCCCTTTGATGCAAAAATTTTTTTGTTTTTGGTCAAGTCCAATTTATCTTTTTTCTTTGTTGCTTGTACTTTTGGTGTCATATGTAAGAAATCACTGCCAAGTCCTAGGTCATGAAGTTTTACCCCTATGTTTTCTTCTAAGAGTTTTATGGTTTTACCTCTTATACATAGGTCTATGATCTATTTTTTCTTTTTTTTTTAAATTGACAAATTTACAATGTTGTATTAGCTTCTGGGGTACAGCAAAGTGATTCAGTTTATATATTCTTTTTCATATCCTTTTCCATTATGGTTTATCATAAGATACTGAATATACTTCCTTGTGCTATACAGTAGGATCTTGTTTATTTTATATACAGTAGTTTGTATCTGCTAATCCCAAACTCCTAATTCATCCCTCCCGTCTTTTCCCTTTTGGTAACCATAAGTTTGTCTTCTATATCTGAGTCTGTTTCTGTTTTATAAATAATTTCATTTGTATCATATTTTACATTTCATATATGTGACATCATATGATATTTGTCTTTCTCTTACTTCGCATAATATGATAATTTCCAGGTCCATCCATATTGCTGCAGATGGCATTATTTTATTTTTTTAATGGCTGAGTAGTGTTCCATTATGTATAATATATACATACCACATCTTTATCCTTTCATCTATGATCTATTTTGAGTTAATTTTTTTATATGGTATGTGGTTCAACTTCATTCTATTCCATGTGATTATCCAGTTGTCTCAGCATCATTTATTAAAAGAGACTATTCTCTCCGCATTGGTCTTGGCACTGTCAAAAGTCAGTTGACCACAGCTACATGGGTTTATTTCTAGACTCTCAATTCTGTTCTCTTGCCCTCTTTATCTGTCCTGATGCCAGTACTACACAGGAGGTTATAGTAAGACTTGGAATTGGGAAGTGTGAATCTTCGAATTTTGTTTTTCAAGATTCTTCTGGTTATTCTGGATCCCTTGAGTTTCCATATTAATTTTAGGGTCAGCTTATCAATTTCTACAAAGAAGTCAGCTGGTATTCCGATAGGAATTACATAGCATCTACAGATCAATCTGGGGAGTGCTGCCATCTTTAAAACGTTAAGGTTTCCAATTCATTAACCTGGATGTCTTTCCACTATTTAGTTCCTCTTTAACTTAAGCAGTTTTATACTTTTTCAGTGTATAACGTCTGTATTTATTTTGTTAAATTTATTCCTAAGTGTTCTTTTGATGCAATTGTAGATGGAATACTTTTCTTAATTTCACTTTTGGATTATTCATTGCTAGTGTATACAAATACAACTGATTTTTGTGTGATCTTGTATCCTGCAACTTTCCTGAATCTGCTTAATAGCCCTGGTAGATTTTTTGGGTGTGTCCTTTAGGAGTTCCCATGTGTAAGATCATGTCATCTGTGAATAGAGGTTGTTTTACTTCTTCCTTTCCTGTACGGATGACTTTCCTGTCTTCTTCTTTCCTGATCCCTCTGGCTAGAACTCCCACCCATTGCTGGCATCCTTGTAACATTTCTTTTTAAAGTCACTTACAGCCTCAGTAATTGTTCTCCTAACTGATTACGTATTAACTTCCATTAAGTTTATGTGGAAGACCATTTGTCTAGGTTTCTGCAAATACTCCAATTCTAGCCAATCCATTTAAACTGGATTACCTGAATAAAGAACATAAAGGATGTAACATCTTCTTTTGGGATCTAACTTTGAGTCAACATGTTGGCTATTTAGTGCGTGCTGGGCTTAGGCATCACGAGTGCATGTATCAAGTCTTTGCTCAGCAACCTGCCCAGATAGGCACGACAAACCCTCAACTTGCCCCATGGGAAATGCCTGGGGACCTTAGCTTCTTAGATGCCTACAAATATTTGGGAGTATTTTTCTAAATAGGAATGAAGAGAGAGTGCACAAATGCACCACAAATTTCCCTTATTTGCTGCCATGAAATTATGTTTAAAAAGAATTCCTCTTTAGAGATAACCCCCAAGAACCAGTGACTAACTTGAGGAGAACAGAATGTGTGAACTGTCTACTACAATGGCCCCCATATGGTAAACTGTAGCCTCCTTAGAGAGTCTTAAGCCCTTAATTCCTTCCCACTGGAAGAGAATTAAAATGACAATACTAATTGTCTCAAACTAAGACCACAACAATATTCCAGTGTTTGAAATACGCTTTGTCTAGTTCAACAGTGCAAAACCAGAGGAACCTAAGGGAATATTTGGGGAGAAGGAAGAATTTGCTTTCTACACTATTCATCAACTCCACTAAGGCTGAAATATGTCTTCCCTAGGGCAAGGGGATATTTGGTCCCAGGATGTATTAGTTATCTATTGAATCATAACAAATTACTCCAAAATTTAGTGGCTTTAAAATTAAAGCACATTTATTATTTCAAAATTTCTGGGATTCAGAAATCCAGGTGTGGCTTAGCTGCGCCCTTAGTTGGAATGATAAGGTTGCAGTCAAAGTGATGGCCAAGGCTGTGGTCTCATGTGAAGGCTTGACTATGGAAGGATCCTAGTTTCAATGCTGTTAATGTGTTTGTTGGCAGAACTTAATTCCTTGGAGCTGTTGGATTGAGGGCTTTAGCCCCTCAATGGCAAAGATCAGAAGCTACCCTCAGTTCCCTGCCACATGGGCCTCTCTGACACATGGCAGCTTGCTTCATCAAAATGTGCAAGCTCTGAAGGCAAAACAGTCCAGCTGGATGAAAGTCAGTCTTTTGTAACCTAATCATGAAAGTAACATCCCATCACTTTTGCCATAATCTCTTTGTTACCAGCAACTCACCAGGTCCAGCCCATACTTAAAGGCAGGAGATTACAATAGGGTATGAATATCAGGAGGTAAGAGATGATTGGGGGCCGTTTTTGAAAGCTGCCTACCAGTCAATACTAGAATAAATACGGATATAAATGCTCTTCTATTTTTTTAATTTAAATATAGTTGATTTACAATGTTGTTAGTTTTAGGTGTACAGCAAAGTGATTCCATACACACACACACACACACACACACACACACACATATATACCTATATATACTTTTTCAAACTCTTTCCCATTAAAGGTTATTAGAAGATATTAAAATAGTTCCCTGTGCTATACAGTAGGTTCTTACTTATTTTATATATAGTAGGGTGTTAATCCCAAACTCCTAATTTCAGATGTTCTTCTTACAAACATATGAGGTTCCAAGAACCTGCTTCATCAGCCCATTTGTCTTGAAAATGAAAGGAACAAAAGAGACATAAGCTTTCAATCCTGACATGTACTTACACCTATGAGAGCAGGTTATTCCAATAAAGCTTTTAAATGGGCTTATTCATGAAGTCCTTGCTGAAATAAATTCTATCAGGCATCCTTCACCAAAATAGGCTGGCTTCAACTTAGTGAAAATCTGTCGAGGCAAGAAACCCATCCTGCTCAGCAAATGCCAAAGAGAAGTTTCTGTAGCAGCTGGAGCAGGCTCACTTGGTCCATTGCCATTCATTTTGATTCCATGATGATTCCACAAGGGCTTGATCTGTGGGACCATCAGTGGCTTATGACCAATATTTTACCAGGAACACTTTTCACCATACTTAGCCTCTAAGCTTTTAAATTACCAGCCTTCTGTGTGATTCTTAAACTGGAAGGAAACCTGCAGTCCTCCTCATTTCCTGGCCATACATACAGAATTTTGTTCATTTCAACTTCATCATTAACCTTTTCTATTCAGTTCTCTCACTTAGGCACAGTTTTCTATGTTTATATGATTCATACTTTCTTCTCCTTAAAAAAATGAACTATAACACAAAATATGCACAAAACATATAGTACAGTGAACAATTACAAAGCAAATGCATAGTCAAGAAGCAGAATACTTTTCAGTCATGTAAGATGAAAAAGACCAGCTGTATAAAGTTAACAGTACTGTATATTTAAAAATTTAAGAGGATCGATTTTATGTTGTGTTTTTTTTTTACCACACACATACAAAAGTGAACAAGCAAGGCCATGCCAGGTCTTTGATTTGGAAAGTAAATTTAAAAAAAAAAATAAGAGTAACTCAGAAACTGGCCACCTGCACCATCCCCCTCATTCCTTCCTGATCGCCCTGTCAAGTCACCAGTGGTAGTTTCCTCTTATTTTTCTTTACAGTTTTATTTCTCTAAAAACTTCAGTTTATTTTTATCTGTTTTAGAAATCAACATAGAAACGGACTCATCACATATGCACATATGCCCTGCTTCTTTGGTTTCCCATTATGTTTGTACATTTCATCTGTGTTGTATGTGGCTGCGATTTGTTTATTTTCATTGTATCACAATCTAATCATCCTACCATGGATGGACATTTGGGTTGTTTTCAGTGTGGGCTCTTAGGAACAGTGCTATTCTGAACTTTCTCGAGTGTGTCATCAAGAGTTTCTGTGGAATGGGATCAGTGGGCCACTGAGTATGTGGAGCCTTAACTTCATCAGATAAGGCCAAACAGCTTTCTACATTCCTTCTCTGGCCTCCAGTCTCCTTCCTCTTGAGCATTTTTATCCCATGTGCAACATTTGCAGTTTCTTTCCACTTTGAAACTTTTTTTTTTTAAATCACTTCCTTTTTTAAAATCTCATTTGTACGGCTTTTCACACTAGGTCTTCCAACAATCTCATTATTTTAAGTGTGATAGTAAATGATATTTGTAAAACACTTCGAAACTAAGCAAAAACACAGCAAAATAAATATTGACGAAGTAGCAGAAACTAAAATGACCCTTAGAGCCATCTCATACCTATTTGTGGCTCACAATATTGTAGTGCTTTATTCTGAAGCTTATTTTTGTTCTTAGATAGTTTATGAATTAATTAAAAATCGGCAAGCAAAATAGTGAATACATGTCATTATACATTTGTCAAAACCCATAGGATATACAATACAAAAAGTGAAACCTATGTAAACTATGGGCTTTAGTCAATAATAATATATCATTATTAGCTCATCAAGTCTAATCAATGTACCACACTAGGGGAAGTGAGGAGATGTAGGGTAACTCTGGATTTTCTACTCAATTTTAATGTAAATCTAAAACTGCTCCCCTCAAACTACTAATTGAAAAAAGTTGCAAGCAGAATAGCTTCTGTATAATGGTAAAGAAATTTCCATTTCTCTAAACTTGAGATTCTAGAGCAGGGGTCACCAAACTGCTGCCTATGGGACAAATGTGGACTGCCGTCTGTTTTTGTGCAGCTTTCCAGCTAAGAATGGCTATACCTTTTTCAAATGTTGAAAAAAAAATCAAAAGAATACTATTTTGTGACTCCTGAAATTTACATGAAATTCTAATTTTACTATCCATGAAGTTTTATTGGAACACAGCCACATCCGTTTGTTTATGTGTTAACTATGACTCTTTCTGCACTACAATGGCAGAGCTACAAAGATCCACAAAGTACCAGAGAATGTATGGCCCACAAAGCCAAAAATATCGACTACCTGGCTCTTCACTGAAAAAATCTGTCAACTCCTACGCTAGAGAGAAAATGCAGGCATTCTTCGTGGAGTCAAGAGATCTGAGTTTAAAACTATGTAAATACGTGATCTTGGGTGAGTTACTCACCATTGCTAGGCCCTAACCATAAATTCCAGACTATAACTTCATGGCTAAGTTTTCATTGGAAAGTGGGCATGGATTTGGGTTATAACAAATGAGACATATCTAGCTTTTCCAAAGCTGACCATGCTATATAAATTTACTCCTGCTTTTAAGAAAATACTGTACAATTTTTTCAACCTGGAAAAATACTGATAAGTATGAAAAGAAAATGAAAATGTGTGAGAATGCTTATCATAATACTGGTTATTATGATAGAAGAACTGGAAATGAATTAAATGTATATAATAGGGGAATGGTGATATATCCCATACCAGGTTAAAATACTATATTATCTCCAAGTTATCTCCCAATTAGACAGATCTTCAAGTATTCACGTGGAGTGACTTCCAAAATGTATAAAATGAAAAAGCATGTTACAAATTAACAGGTACAGAATGATGTCTTTTGTTTTATAACAACAAAATTATTTCTATATGTAGATACATTCTGATACATAGAATAAAAAGTCTAGACCAGTGCTGTCCAACAGAAATACATTGCAAGCCATATCTATAATGTCATATTTCCTAGTAGCCACATTAAAAAAGTAAAAAGAAACAAGTAAAATTAAATGTAATATTTTATTTAACCCAATATATAAAAAGTTATTTCAACATGTAATCAATAAAAAAAGTAAGATATTTTACATTTTTTTTCCTACTACATCTTTGAAATACAATGTGTATTTTACATTTAAAGCACATCTCAATTTAGGTCAGCTACATTTCAAGCACCCAATAGCCACATGTGGCCAGTGGCTGTCATATCAGACAGCACAGGTCTAAAACACATCAAAGTGATAACAGTGATTACTCTGGTGCAGGAGGGGAAAGGTGAAGGGGGACACTATTTTTCCGCTAATTCTTTTGTATTGTTGAATTAAAATGATTTCATGTATTACTTTATTAAAAATGAGTAATACATATTTAAAACAAGTCAGAAATATATTATGTACTTCATGTTTCATACCTTAATATTTTTATAAATCTCTTCTGACTGGGTTTTAGTATTGCAAACACAGTAATAACAAGAGAAAGTAAAAGAGCTTATTCAAAATGTGAACCATTAAATAAGACTATTTGTATTAAACTGTCTTAACTGGATAAATATGTTCTGAGTTTGAGCTATCTGTGAGGAGTCAGGCTATGCACTATGGAGGATAAAAAGAATGAGACATTGTTATTCTAAAAGATTTTTGGAAAAGCTTTTGGAGCTGCCTTTACAGCTTGTAAATTCTCTTCAGGTTGGATTTGACTTCTACCGATAGCCAAAAGCCCCCTAGTTGAGTCCAGTAAATCAATCTAGATGATAGTTCTGTCGAAAATGAAGCATAACAAAAGATTTTATTATATGCCTTGCAAACTGGCAGCTCCAAATGCTTCCAAAACCATTTACTGTCAGCAACAACAATAAATTAAGTAGTTAATGCAACAAGACAACTATGGGGAAGGTCAGCTTAAAATGGATACATTCCAGTTTCCTTTAAAAAAAAAAGTTGTTATTCCATATTCATATAGCTCTGGGTACCTTCTTATTCTTTTTTCCATTTCTGATCATATTCTGCAAATTGCCAAGGATGTAAAATTAGGAACCAGAGATATTCACAAATTTCAATGTTCTGTAATACAAAATTAGAAGGAATCTTACTAATGAAATAGTTACAATTACCTCCTTTATTTCTTGCACTCAATGATTTATTACTTAATGCTTTGTTAAAATAAAGGGTAAAATTAAGTCTTTGCCCAGCTATCAGTAATTTACGATTGCCCTCAGTGAAGAGTGAGTAAACACCATAGAGACAAAACTATTTCCCGGCTATTCTAGTGTATCCATATGTTCTGAAAGAAGGGGCCATCAGGAATTTTTTTAATTACCTAGGGTTTTTAGAAGAACTCAATTTGGTCTCTGTAAAAGATGGGACTTAAAATGCTAAAAGAGTGATGATAAGGGCAAAAAGGGAAAGGAAGTTATGGTTCCCCACTTGAAAACTTGAACAGTATCATCATTGAACTCGTAAGCAACCTAAGCCTAATCTCTTCGTTTTATAGCGCTAGCTTTTGGTTTGCATCTGAAGGGTGAAAAGGAGGTCAGCTGGGGGACAACTGGAGGGAGAGCGTTCTAGGCCCAGAGACCAGCACCTTCCAGCCTTTAGATCCTAGTGGCGTCCAGCCAGCCAAGAAAGACGCCTCCTCAGCCTCGCTAACAGCCTTCTCTCCCTTCCTTTGCCTCAACCCAGCGCCTTCTTCGCAGCTCTCTCCCTTAGCGTTCCAGCACCACCCGACCCCCAGCCTCCTTCAACACCCTTTGGCCTCCTCACCAGGGCCTCCTCCCTCAGACAGGTGTCTCTCTTCGGCCTCTGCCGTCAGTCTATGGGCCCTCGCCTCACTGTCCTCCCTCTCTTTGAGGGTCTAAATTTTTGGACGTCTCCATCTGCCTTCAGATCTTTTCCCTCAGGCTCAACCTTCAGTTTCCCCTCCGTCGGGTCCCTTGGTTTGCGGGGTCTCCTCCCTCAGTCTGCGGGGGTCCCCTCTCTCAGTCCAAGGCATCCCCTCCCTCGGTCTGCGGGGTCCCCTCCCTCAGTCCAAGGCATCCCCTCCCTCGGTCTGCGGGGTCTCCTTTCTCTGCAGTATCTCTCCTCAGCCCTCTTGGTCTGAGGGGTTCTTACCTTTCCGAGGGCCGCGAGCGCTGGCTTTCTCCACTGACCTCTTCGCCGCCAGCTGTCTTAAGCTCGCTCGCGCAAAAGCACCGTCTCGGGGCGCGC